GTTGGATAGAGTTAGGAGAGTTGGATAGAGTTAGGAGGGTAGGACAGAGTTAAGAAAGTTGGATAGAGTTAGGAGGGTTAGATAGAGTTAGAGGAGTTGGATAGAGTTAGAAGAGTTGGATAGAGTTAGAAGAGTTGGATAGAGTTAGGAGAGTTGGATAGAGTTAGAAGAGTTGGAGAGAGTTAGGAGGGTTGGATAAAGTTAGGAGGGTAGGATAGAGTTAATACAGTTGAACAAAGAAAATCTGTTTAAATAGATTTATTAAAGATTAATTATACATTTATGATAAAATTTTTTATATTTTTTAAGGTGGCATAGCAGAAATTAGCCTTGATGTAAGTTTTTTATTAAAGGGATGCCTATTTTTCAGAAATTTTCCCCTGAGTTTTTTGGAAAAGGTCTTTTTTAAAATGAGCTGATATTTGTTAAAATACATGGAGGAATCAGTTGATATTTGTAAATCTAATAAAATGGCGGAATCATTAAGGAATCAGCTGATATATTTAAAATAAAAAATGGCGGAATAGCCGATATGTGTTAAATTGAAGATGGCGGAATCAGCTGATATTTTATTAAGGGTGCTGTTACTGGACCAACCAACAGTGCCATAATAGCGGAGCAGTTTAGAAGATTAAAGTTTGGAGACAGATTCTTCTTTACTCATGGATATAGGTTCATAATATTTTAAAGTATTCTTGGGTTTAAACCTTAAAACAGCAGAATTGATTGGGCCCGAAGGAACGATGTTATTATCATAACTTTAAATTTTCAATTCCCTATATCTGTGCAACCTGATTGTATAAAACTTTAATATTTATACTTAAATCATTGATCTACCAAAATTGAAAGGTCTGCAAAATCAGGTTCCAAAAATATAGGGATTAGAAAATCAGAGTTTGTGGAAAAGACTCGTTAGCCAAGGTTTTAATGCAAGGAAAGTTATTTCAGAGGTGTACGCATCTATTGTACTGTAGTGTACTGTCTCTGGGCGGTAAGTAAACACAAGTCGGATGTCACAGCCTGACATGGGATCCATCTTTCACATTAAAAAAATCAATGAAATATTCTGGTCATGGAAACTATTATGTGAATTATCAAAATTATCAAAATTTAATGCTTTTATCCTCCTCGGATACTAGAGGAACACTGATGCATCTATTATTGTTTACAAATACCGCCCAGAGAGAACTGGATTCATTGTGTACGCAGAGTATACGCAACTGCAATTAACTTTCCTTGCATTATAACCTTTTGTAGAACCTCATGAATCGGAATGTTTACAAGTATTGTTTACTGAAATTATATAACTTAGTAAAATATAGATTGAGCGGGAAAAGAGAGAAAGGATTGGAATTGATTTCTAAATCCCAGGTATTGAAGTAAGTATATTTTTATTTAAAGCTTTTTTCCCAAAAACTGCAGACTAAAAACTTGTGTTAATTAGGCAATCTATGGCCGCGATATTGTGCAACAACCTAAAGGTAAACATTTTTAAAATAATACGAAAACGGTTCTTTGTGATGAAAAATTCAATCCTTTCACCTTTAATCATCAAACATATTTTTTTCTTTGAAAACATTTTTAATTTAATTTTGTCTCTTATAAAAAAACTTTTTCATTCAGAGCTACATAATTCGTCCCAGTCAGAAGAAAAAGTGGAAAATGCTAGAATTTCCATTCAAGGTAATTCAACAGCTTTTTCACATTTTTGAATGTTTTATACTATTTTTCCTTGTATAAAATTTTTTAATTCTTAAAATAAAGGTTGCTGATGTGATATTTACAGGGTTACCCACAAAGGATCAGACTTCAGAGACGATTGTATGAAATTTGTTTAATCCGTTTTCTTGTATGCGAAGTTCCTTGCAGGCCAAAACTGGCTTATTTCTGTGCTTAATCATTTAGTAAACCATCAAAATACTTAATTGACTTTTGGGTCGTCTTTACAGTCTCATCCTTGGTGGGTAACCATCGAATATCGAAATTTTAATGGTCTGTCTGTATTTGATTTATGTAAAAACTGCTAAACCTTATCTTACCAAAATTTGCGTGGCAACGTCTTTCAATTGAAAAATTTAGAGATTTCCAATTGCAAAGAAAAAATGGCCGCAAAGCATCATTTAAACGGTAAAGTTGTGACTAGAACAGTCTGGAAGCCTAGTTATTAAACGGTAAAGTTGTGACTAGAACGGTCTGGAAGCCTAGTTATGAAACGGTAAAGTTGTGACTAGAACGGTCTGGAAGCCTAGTTATTAAACGGTAAAGTTGTGACTAGAACAGTCTGGAAGCCTAGTTATTAAACGGTAAAGTTGTGACTAGAACAGTCTGGAAGCCTAGTTATTAAACGGTAAAGTTGTGACTAGAACGGTCTGGAAGCCTAGTTATTAAACGGTAAAGTTGTGACTAGAACGGTCTGGAAGCCTAGTAATTTACTTATATTTTACTTTGATTCTAATTAGACCTAATCCTTAAAATAATGCTGAGACGGCTTAGAATATATAACTGAGTGATGGTGACTAGCGGCATTTGGATTGTTGCCTTGCTTTAAATCTATATGCAAACTTCTAAATCTCCCAAATCATATTATATCCAAGCCCTGTAAAAGTTCAATATCATTCCTCTTTAGTATTAATTAAAGTCATTTTTTTGTCAACCAACAACATTCTAAAAAATTTACAATTACAAATGATAATTTTGTAATCAATTCTAATTGATTCGCTGCGGATCAATTTCAATTGATCAGCTGCTGATCAATTCCAATTGATCAGGTCGGATCTGCTTGGTTATCATGTGAGAAAATATTGAAAGATGCTGCAATGGATTTTAAAGCTATGGCTCGAGAAATCGTTAATTCAAAAAGAAGAAGTAAGTTAATTATTATTAAGATTTTACTCAATTTTTAATTGACTAAAAACTATTTTGATTTTTAAATGGATTGTCAATAAAGGTTTCCTTTCAATTCAAGAGTGCCATGAGTGATTTACAAGAGCAGTTCAAGATGCTTTTTTTTCCGGAAAAATCCAAGAAAAGCTATGTTCATGGTCAGAGATGTTGGTAACTCTTTGACAGAAAGCAAAGATCTTATTGTTTAAAGGCATGTGAACTCCGTGCGTTTATCTCGAAAATGGTGTCTAATTTGCTGTAAAACTGAATTGTAAGTGACAACACAGCTGACATTACATATGTTCCCTGAAAATCCCGAATATTATGTCCAGTGCGGTTTTCTAAAGTGTGAATGTAAAGAAAGTAAAAATTAATATTTCTTATGGTTAAAACAGCTTTATAACAAAGAAGAAAATAAATAAGGATAACTCCGTCATCCTTGATCATTGGAAGGTAATTACACTCCTGTATGCCGAGCCCATTAGCACCTGATCCATTCAGGGTTCAGTCATATGTTTGTTGTCTATTCTGAACCAATAGAAATAGTATGGCGGTAACATCTATCTTTCTATCTATCTATCTATAGTAATTAGAGGGTACTGTTGTAAATCAGACAAGCCCATTTACAAACAGAGAGAGTCACTTGCAAGGATTTAATGCAAGGAAAGTTATTTCAGAAGTGTACACATCTTTTGTACTGCAGTGTACTGTCTCTGGGCGCTAATGTAAACACAAGACGGATGTCAAAGCCTGACATGAGATCCATCTTTCACTTAAAAAAAATCAATGAAATATTCTGGTCATAGGAAACTATTATGTGAATTATCAAAATAACCAAAATCTAATGCTTTTAACCTCCTCGGATACTAAACAAACATTGATGCATCTATTCTTGTTTACACATTCCACCCAGAGAGAACTGGTTTCAATATGAACGCAGAGTATAGGCGACCGCAATTAACTTTCCTTGCAGTATAACCTTGGTCACTTGTAAATTATGCCTACAGTCTATTGCATGCCTATGGCATGTTCTTTTGTGAATTGTTAATGGCACTCTTCTTCAAAGAAAGGATAAATTAAAGTAGTGTTAAAGTTTCTTTTAAAGGGAGTGTTCGCGAAAAATGAAAGGGGGTATAGGCTTAATGCGATAAAAAGTGCTTTTGATCGCTACTAATTTTACTTCTATCTGTTGCGTCTACAAGGAGAACATTGTTAAAGACGTCTCATACCGAATAATTTAGCGCCCATACAAATTGAGAAAATTGCAACATACAACTTAGACCGTAAAAAAATCAATTTAATTTCAAACAAATCATTCAATAAAATATTATAAAATATAAACTATATACAAATGTGGCGAAATATAATCGATGACTAGAGGTTGTAATATCTGAATGATTTGTTTGAAATTTATTCGGTATGAGACGTCTTTAACAATTTTTCTCCTTATAGACGCAACGGATTGAAACAAAATTAGTGGCGATCAAAAGCGCTTTTTTATCGCATTAAGCCTATACCCCCTTTCATTTTTCGCGAACACTCCCTTTAAATCAAAAATCTATTTTTCTTTTCAGTTGAGGCGAACTGTAAACAAGTGGATGGGTAATTTTCCTTGTTTTTCTTCATCAATCAATATTTCTTCCACATTAATAATATCAATTGCTCGAGTTTTAATAAATGAACTGAGTTTTTGCCACAAACTCCGATTTTACAACTCCTATATTTTGGAACTCTATCTTAAACTTATTGACCGGACCCATAGTTTGAAATATCAACGATCTACAACATCGGCTCTAAATATATAAGAGGGTATGAAAATCAGAATTTGCGCCAAAAACTAAGTTCCTTCAAACAAATTTTGATGTGCTGATTGGAGGAATATGAAAAATTAATATAGTAAAATATCATTTATCAATTTCTTATCAAAAATTAATATCTGGGCAAAATTCCTGTTTAGTGGATATCTAATATCTTCAAACATAAACTATAGATAATTACTATTTAATTCCTAGGACTAGAGCTAAATGTAATGAGTGCACTAATGATGATGATTGTCTTGATGAAGTACGTTTTACTTTTCCTTATTTCTTTTATTTACTGCAAACCAAGGTTATAATGCAAGAAAAGTTATTTCAGAGGTGTACGCATCTTTTGTACTGCAGTGTACTGTCTCTGAGCGGTAATGTAAACACAAGACGAATGCCACAGCCTGACATCCATCTTTCACATAAAAAATCAATGAAATATTCTGGTCATAGGAAACTATTATGTGAATTATCAAAATTATCTAAATTAAATGCTTTTATCCTCCACGGATACTAAACAAACACTGATGCATCTATTCTTGTTTACAAATTCCGCCCAGAGAGAACTGGTTTCAATGTGTACGCAACTGCAATTAACTTTCCTTGCATTACAAGTTCACAACCTTGCTGCAAACCTTCGGATCTATAGTAGAAAATCTAAAAATCAGCGAGTGTAATGTAAGCTGAGACGTTTATGATTTGCATGACATGACAGTTACTGAATTCCTTGACTATAGAGATGATTAGGTCAAATCTTGTGCTGTGGTTCTCTTCTATTCCAATCCCTATTGGCCCAGGACCACCAAAAAAATCAGTTCAGTTTATCCATTGGTCCATAGGTCCCAAAATCTTAACTAAGAGGCTCTCCGCACCAGGAAATTGCCCTTTTCACACAACCCGATCTCCAGGCACACTAAGCCTTGGTACACCCACTTTTGGGACTTCTGGGCTCCACTGATCTAAAATCTAAATGAAGTGAGCTTTTGCCACAAACTTAAAATGTACAATCTCTGTATCTTTTGATCCTAATGAGCTGAAACTTTGATATTTCAAACTTATAGTTTATTTATAATTATAAAATCAGAGTTTGTGGCAAGAACTTAATTACTTTGCTGGACCTTCGCTAGGAGGAAGTAAATAGAAGGCCTCACACCTCAAAACTGTACTTAACCCCTTCAACAGTCAAGAAATTCAGGGATATAAACGCCAGGCATATCATTAACACCTACCTCCACCTGAGGAACCCAGCAGAAGAATGTTGTTGTTGATAACTGAATATATTCTATTATATGTGTAAAAAAAACTGGAATATTCCTTTATCAAATTTTATTTTAGACCGTTTTAGATAGATTTCATTACTAATCCCACCCTGTACTACAGTATTTTGACTAAAATATATTCACAAATCCACAAGTTTTCATATTCTTTGTTAATGTTCTAAAGTATGCTGAATAGTATTGTAAAAAGGATTATGTATTTATTGATTTTTGAAGTTAAACTTTGTTGCAGTAATACTTGATCATACTGTAGAACCTCTGTCTTATTTCATGTATACAATATTTATTTACTTTTCAGTACAGCGAAGATTTTGAATGTGTGGAAAATGAATGCTTGTTAAAATCCTTCACATGTTTCGACAGTTTTGACTGTGATGTAAGTATTGTTTTGTCATTGATGCCAAATTTTTTTATTTCTATTTTTTTCATGATATCAGACAAATGAGAGATGTGTTAACGAATTCTGTGTTAGGAAAGAAAAAAAAGATAAAAAAGGTAACAAAATAACATTAAGAGAAAATTGATTTTTAGAAAAATACAAAACTTAGTTTATCATTTATACACCCAACTCACTTTCCCAGATTCACATCTCTAACAATAATTCTGATAAATAAATTATCTGCTCCAGGAAAAGGCAAAGGTGGGAGAAAAAGTGGAGAAGACAAGGAGGGAGGCAAGGGGAAGGGGGAGGGGGATTTAGATGACAAGGCAAAAGAGGAGGAGGCTTTTAATGACGGGGGAGAGGGGGAGGAGGCTTTCGATGACAAGGGGAAAGAGGAGGAGGCTTTCGATGACAAAGCAAACGAGAAGGAGGACTTTGATGACAAGGCAAACGAGGAGGAGGCCTTAGATGACAAGGCGAAAGAGGAGGAGGACTTTGATGACAAGGGGAAGGGGGAGGCCGACCTAGATGACAAGGCGAAAGAGGAGGACTTCAATGAAAAGCCAAGAGAGGAGGGGAAGGACTTTTATGAGGATACTATTGACATCAAGGAGGTGGAGGACAAGAAGGACAAGAAGGACAAGAAGGAAAAGAAGGACAAGAAGGAGGAGAAGGAGGAGAAAGAAAAAGAGGACAGAAGTGGAGGAACTAAAGGAAAAAAGGGAAAAAAAGGAAAAAATGGAGATCAAAACTAAAGACAAATGAGAAGAGAAGATAAAAGAATTTTAAATAATGCAATATTAATTATTTTGTACTTTCAGTGGTTCTAGAAATAAAATATTTATTTAATTATTTTTTAAATATAAATTAAAATAATCATTCAAACATTATAACTCTTCACACATAAATAACACTTTAAATAGAAACTCCATTGATTAGCTTTGAAGAGAGTCTGAAATATATTTAGAGGTTCAAGATTTAGGGCTTTGTGATTTTGTTTTTCATTTTTCATGATTTCTTTGCAAATGATTTATTCAGGTATAGAGTAAATATCCTTTAATAAAACAATTTTATATTATTGTGTTTATTTGAAAAATCAAAAAAATCTTTAACTTGTATAATAAAACAAGACATTCGTACACATGTTGCCCATAGCCGGCCAAATGGCTGGACCGAATGGGCTGAACTTTTTTGTGAACACTCATGGGTAGCCGGGGGTGTCTTAAGCTAAAAAAAATCGAAAATAAGAAAAAATATTTTTTTTTTTTTAATTTTGTTTTCAAATTATTTGTTTTCATGAGCAACTTTGGGTCCCTCAGCTGGTACCTCATAATTTAAAGAAAATGATAAAAATATTGTAAAATATATCTAAACATGTGTTGCATGCTGATTTTTTTAAAACATAATTTATTTGTTTGTTCTTATGGCAACATTAAAATTGCTGAGAGTTTATTAAGTTTAAATTTAATTTTATGATGTGTTTTTAAGAGAAGGTAAATATGTGGATAATTTAAGTTTATGACATATTTTATTATGTAATACTAATAACTATCAGTATTTTACGACTTATATTGTTTTAATCTGTAATAAATTATATGAGAAAATTTACTTGCAAAACAAGGGACCTGATAACTTTTAAATTATTTTGTTTTGTCAAATTATTTAGAAAAACAAGATTATGACACCCATCATAAACCTGCAGCTTTCTCTTTTAAAGAATATCAAATTTATCACTTTTATGAGAGTATTATCTTGGTCTTCTTCTTTCTTTTTTTAGCCAGAAAACTTCTACAGGGTGTCTTACAAAACATGAAAGTAGCAAGACGACTTAAAGGTTTGATCTTTGAAATTATTTGCCGCATTTATTCTTCAACCTTCATTTCTCTGTGGCTCTCTGTTTTATGCAGAGAGTGGGTAAATTATGCAAAAAATATTCTGTGCAATTTATGTATTTGCGCAACTGAATTTTTGCGATAATTTATGAGCGCTTGTTGCTAATTATTTGCAATGTGCGCTCGAGCAAAAAATTAACAATTAAAGGGTGCAACTAAACTAATAATAATTTGGATTATTTTTCGCCATAAGCCTATACCCCCTTTCATTTTTAGTGAACACTCCCTGTAAAGGGTGCAACTAAACTAACAAATTTTAGGGTGTGAAAATAATTTGGAGTTAGGATAATTAGGCATGTAATATAGCTTGAATAGTTTAGAAATTAAATGCAGTTTTGTTTCTAATCTTAATGTCCAATTAAACAACATTATAATATTGATTTGTAAAGTGATACTGGTTATTACTAGTAAATGCCTACACCAGAAACTATATTAATATTCAGTGAATTAGTTTAAAAAGATTATACTTTATAATGTTATGTTGTACATTATGTTTTATTAGTTATAATAATCTCAATTTCCATGCATTGAAGTTAAGATAAAATCATAATTTAAATCCTTGTATTTTAAATTTTGAAGTTATTGTCTTCAGATTTTTAAATTTCAGAGTAATCTCAATTAAATTCAAAATTATTAAATTAATAATTAATGAATTAATTCTATTCCTCTTCAATATCTCGTGGTGGTCATAACCTTTAATTGAGGGATTAAGTATTTATCCACATCGGATATCGAGATCAAGCTCTCCTGAGCTGAAAACTTTAGATTGGGATATCCTTAATCCCGATCGGTTAATTAATCTAGAGATTAACAACAAGAGGAGAACAAGCATTATTTAATCTGGAGATTAAGAAAAAGAGGGGATCAAGCATTAATCCCGATATCTACAATTCAAAAGTTTTCAGCTCAGATTAAATATTCTTCACACAAATGTTCCGATCTCTGAATTTCATACTTCCTATTTTCCACTAATATATCCAAATAGTGAAAATGAGAAAGGAAATCTAACTTTTAATACAATCAAAAAATGTGCAATGTGCATAAAAATGATTAATTACAAATGAAATAGTTTTTGGGTTAGTTTTTAAGGGATTCCTCACAAATCTTTAAAAATAACAAAATTTGAAATTGTACATCATTTTCGTGGAGCCGTTTAAAAGCCTATATTACACTAAGTATTCTTTACCCCCTAATACTTTTCAGAACTATTTATTTGCTTTATAAAAACCATCCTTATATTGAATAAAGCATAATTTAATGTAAAGTCTTAATGTTTTCAGGTGTAGAAATGAATCCTAGCTGTTCATTCCTAGTAATCTTGATTTTCTTGGCTTTGGTGAGAATTTTTAAAATACTTTATCAAAATACTGAAGTATAATAAGTCGTTCTCAAATTTACATGTAATCTTGTATTGCACAGTGTATTTATATTTTGTTATGAAATGTAATGAAAATTTATAATATAACTATGTCTGCACTTTCATATTCTTATGAAACCCCAAAAAAATCGAAATCAAATTTTAAAAAATATTCTTCCAAATAAAAACTCAAGCAGTAAATTTATTCAATTAAAATTGATAAAGCATGTTTGAACCTTATATCTATATAAAGGGATATGAAAGGACCTTTAAATTCTAGAATGAGCCCGTCAAATTCACTTTTGAATATTTAGAATGTGTTCACATATTTCATTTTACTCAAAAATATGTAAAATAAAAAGTTCCTTACTTGCCTCGGTACAAATAAGATACCTTTTACCCTATAAAGGCTTGGGGGGTCTGAATCTATGTATAGCCTTGGGTGGTGTCCCCTAGAATAACTTTTTATAACCTTACTGGTTCAAGGAAGGCGAGGTATAAAGTAATGTTTTTGGCAAAAAAACTTTACGAGCCCCCTTTAACCAGTAGGGTTTTAGATAACTTTATGCTCTGGAAAAAAAGAAATATGAATTCAAATGTTAACAGTATCAAAATAAATAAATACACAAAAATGGCACGTCAATTATAGAACATCTAATATAAAGTTTAAACTTTTAAAAAGTACATATTAAAGAAAATCCCAAATATTAATGCTGGAAGATGATCATTCAAAAGAATGCGGGAACTTCAAAGCAAAAAATGCGCAAATATTGAAAGGTGTACTCAGCTGGGGTGATATTTTACTTTTAAACCCATAAGAAAATAGTGAAAATTTTACCCCAACTCAGCTGGAAATATATGGGTTTCAGGATATGTTCACCATAGATTAAAAAGAGGCCACCTAGGGCATAAACAGACCTAATACTAAAGGTATAGGTTTGCAATGCATGTTAATAGTCCAATTGTTCAAGTCTGCAGTCTATTGATAAAGAATTAGACCGCTAACTTAAATAGTTTAGGTTCTAGTAAGGTTAAAAAAATGTCAAAAAAAAGGTCGGAAAAATGTGAAAAATATTTTTTTTAATATCTTTGATAAATGCTAAGATGGGACACTTGTTTCCATAGCCATGTTTCAATCTGTAGCCTGAATAACAAAAACAGTTTTTTACACTCACTGGCATTTTTACCGTCTTACCTACCCTCTGCATTAAAAAAACTAAACATTCCTTTAAATTCCTATTCTTTAAAAGTCTAACAGTTTCAAGGAAATGACCCCCCCGGCCCCCCAAACCTATTTAGGGTTAATCCCAGAGACAGTAAAAGTTAGTGAAAACAGTTTTCTAAATAAATTAAATAGTATTATAACCATTAATGGCTGTTTCAGGAAGACACAAAACATTTGGTTGTTTGCGAAGACAATTCTGATATATTTGAATACTACTACGTTGACGGTGATAACACAACATCCGAGATTGTAGATGATGATGCTGGTTATGTTGAAGAGTATGATGATGAAGAAGATGCTTTTGATGACCCAGCAGATTTCGTTTATCAAGATGAAACTAAGGATGTCAAATTTTCCCCTGAAGGATACTCCAACGGCAAAGGGTAAGTTCTTAAATGACCGGTTGTTGTTATTTTGTGTCACTCCGTCACCGATTCACAAACCTCTACCTGATCAAAAAGGCAATATTTTTTTTTATTTTCCAAATTTTTTCCATGTTTTTTGTCTTAAAGTAGCAAAATGATTTCAAAATTTAACATAAACCTTAAAATTTTTAAAACCCCTTTCTTGAAGAAAAGAAAAGATATTTTACTTTTTCATCTTAAACTTATTAGTAATTTTTAAATATGTTCAATGTATGAAATAATCTAACATAACAAAAACTTTTAAAATATTTAACAAGTAAAATATGAAATAAATGTAAAATTTAGGGATTACGACGGTGTGCTTCCTACCAAAAATTTTACAGTAAGTCAAAAATTAAGATTTAATTCACTTCCACATTGACATTTTAGTTATTCAAATCTTTGCTAGATTGACAAAATTCTTTAAATTGACATTTAAACAATCCTATGTGTTTTGATGCTGTTAGAAAGCAAATAGTTTTATTTAGCTTTATCAATTCACTCTGTGCATACTGCACAATAGCTGTGTTTTATGTTCAATGGACTATTAAAAACTTAACTTGAATCTGAAAGTCGTCTCCCTTTCCCACATTTTCTTGAATTCTACTGTTCTTATTATACCTAATTTAAATTGAGTAGGTGGAATCCCCCTAAATTTACAACTAGCACAACTAAATATACTATTACTATTGTATATTTATTGTAAATGATAAAAAACATGTCCTAAAACAAGTTGCTATACGCGAGGGTGCCTGTATGTTCTCCAGCCCCTGTACCCAGACAATCTTCAGGGTTTACTGTTTACTGTTTATATTTTCACATTTATTATAGAAGCAGAACGCAGAGATTCTCTACAGTGATAAACTTTACCAAATATCATATATAATGTAGATATACTAAACAACTCTACAGTGATAAACTTTACAATACAAGCAAATGTAAGCACTTTAACATTGAGTTAAGAGTAAAGTAATCTTTAATATAAATCAGATTGTTAATTTCTTTTTTTCCGATAAAACTCTGAGCTTAGCAGTCTACGTAATTATATATATAAAAGAAAAATTCGACTTATTTATTTTACAATTATACGTATTATAGATCAAATAGATAATTAATAAATATATAGTTTTTAGATCAGAGTCCGAATTTAATGAATTTAAGCCCTGTCTCAAATCCCCCCCAAAACCGGTTTCATTTAAGCGCTGGCTTAAATCTTGAAAAATTGAATACAATTTTAAGTTCTACCAACCATATTTTAGCCGCAGCTTAACTTTAAGCCGCGGCTCAAATTCTTTAAATTCGGCCTCAGATAACTTAAAAATGTGTCTTTGTTGATTTTAGTGCCTGATCCCGTGCAAAACTTGGTGAAGGATTCGACCAAGAGAGCTTTAAGGAAATTTGCTCATTATTAACATATTTCAAGTTCCCAAAAATTAGCTGTAAGCGAATGCAATGGATTTTTTTCCTAAACGCAGATCCCATATCAGATCCCATATCAGATCCTATACCAGATCCCATATCAGATCCCATATCAGATCCCATATCAAACTGCTCAATCCTAGATTTATGCAAATTACCCATTAAACTCACTGTAAGGTAACTTATACAGTGGTAGACGATTGTATCAATACAATGAAGACAACTTTCGATTTCAATTTTTGATTTATATATTTTTTTAAATCTAGATATTTATTTAAAATCTGTTAGAAATTAACAAAATAATTTTAAAGATACATATTAAAAAATATTACAATTTTTATATATATTACGAGGTTACATGTTTGCAGGTTTTTGAATAGACAATTTTAATTCAACTTTGAAAATACAGTAATGTAAGAAAATTTATCAAATTTGATCCTAAGAATTTTCTTTTAAATTAAAGGAATAACTCAGTAGAGTTATTTAATATTGATGTAATCTTTAGATGTTACAACATTATTTAACATAAATTGTACTAAGTACATAGTAGACGTAAACTTTCATGAAATTTTAAATTAAAGTTGCAACCATTGAATCTTGATACTTTGATACTCAGGTGGAAATATTTCCATCCTTGCTCGTGCCGTGCTTGACAAATATTGACGAGCTTTTCTTCAATGCTGTTCTGGTTCCGGTGAAGGCACAGGTTCCACAACAAAGATAAATGTTACCGCCAAACTATTTCTATTGGTTCAGAATAGACAACAAACTCATGACTGAACCCTGATTGGATCAGGTGCTAATGGACTTGGCATGCAGGAGTGGGGAGTATACAACGATATGAAGTCATTTTTGTAAAAGAGACTAAAGTTTAATTAAGACTGACAAAGTACTTAAATTCGAGACAAAGGAATTGAGTTGTTGCCACTAACTCTTATTTTCTAATCCCTGTTTCTTTGCAACCCGATATATTAGACCTTTGATATTTCAAACTATATTTTCTGTAAGATCAAATAATCTAAGTTTGAAATATCAAAGATCTACACCATGAGTTTGCAACCATGAAGGGAAAAAAAATTTGCGTTTGTGACAAAAACTCAATTCCGTTAAAAAATATCAATATAGAATCATTTGTAAATATGCAGAACTTATATTTTTTATATCTGTGGACGTTTTTCTATTTCTGGAGAACAGGATAAATTTAAATTTATTACTGTTTTTTATTAACAGTATTGAGATATATCAAGCTGTTAAACAGCATGGATACACATAAACATAAAAGTCAACAGAAGTTGTCAATTTAAAACTTATGTAACTTGAAAAAACTTGAAAAAATCGTCTTCGTTGAAATGATAAAATCGCCTACCACTGTAATATAACTTCTAAAAGCTGTGATTGGCAACTGTGAAATGTTTCCACCAATTAAAATTGCATAGGATAATAATCATTCGAAGTCATGTTTAAAGAAAATCGTTTTCATTGTAATGATATAATCGCCTACCACTGTAATATAACTTCAGAATGCTGTGATTGGCAACTGTGAAATGTTTCCATGCCAATTAAAATTGTATAGGCTAATAATCCTTTGACGTCATTTATAATTGAACAACTTTTAAATCTTCCACTACCCTTCATCAATTGTTAGTGTCTAGGATTTATTTAATACAATAAAATATCTGACAATGTGATTATTGAAGTGAGTTTAAAGCAGATGAAGACTTGTACAATAATCCAAAGTTCTTCAAGGGGTAAGCAATTTATTTATTTTATATGAATTATAGAAAAAATACGAAAATCTATGATGTTTATAAATAAGGGACTTGCTATATTAGGATAGGATTCAGCATACAAAAGTTAGAACCTCAGATGACATGATCAAGAGTAATAAATCCAAAAACAAAGACATTATTATTTTTTAGGTTCTACAAGAAGTGGACTCCAGAAAGTGTCGCAGCTGGGAAGGATGCCAGACTTCTTGAAACTGCAATATCAAGTCTAGAAAACAGATCCAGGTAGATAAAGTCAGCTGACTGAAGTCCTTACAAAGAATTCTGGAGAAAAAGATGTCGCTGACATAGATCACATTCTTCTGTACGTTCCTCTACATAGGCTTTTTAACAGAATTGTCAAATAGAAGAGGTGGAGGTCAGATTTCAATTTTAATTCTCTAAAACTGCCCAAACTTAGAGATGGAAGTAGAAACAAAAGATGATTAAAGATTTATATTCTAGAAAGAGTGAAATCTTTTAATTGAATAAAACTTTTAGTGGTTGAATCCTTCTCCTGAATTGCTAGGGAGAGTTATAATCACTCATTAGAGGGTGAAAAGGAACGATTTCGAGTTTACTGAACAAGTTATTCAACTTCTTGGCTCTGGGTCTGCTATCTTGTGGAATCCAGATTTGAAGCTTTATATAACATAGACCGCAATTATAAATCATAGGATTGATTAAATCTGTAGTTTAACTTGTGTAATATTTGACATAAATCATCAACATTGAGTGAAACTAGCTTTTGTATATTATGAACCCTAAATACAGTTTATTTTGTATATTATGAATCCTAAATACAGTTTATTATGTATATTATGAACCCTAAATACAGTTTATTGTGTATATTATGAACCCTGAATACAGTTTATTTTGTATATTTTGAACCCTAAATACAGTTTATTTTGTATATTTTAAATCCTAAATACAGTTTATTTTGTATATTTTGAATCCTAAATACAGTTTATTTTGTATATTTTGAATCCTAAATACAGTTTATTGTGTATATTATGAACCCTAAATACAGTTTATTGTGTATATTATGAATCCTAAATACAGTTTATTTTGTATATTGTGAACCCTAAATACAGTTTATTGTGTATATTATGAACCCTGAATACAGTTTATTTTGTATATTATGAACCCTAATACAGTTTATTTTTTATATTATGAACACTGAATACAGTTTATTTTGTATGTTATGAACCCTAAATGCGGTTTATTTTGTTTAGAACTGCTGGTAGTGATTACTCAAGCCAAGATTATGGTACAGCAGAAGAATTGAAAAATGTCACAAAGGTAATTATAAAGATTTGTCTTTAGGAATTTATTAGATAAATGTCAATTTATGTTTTAATAACTAGGAACTCTTTATCAGTAATTTATTGACATTTAATGAAAGGGTACCTCTGTCCATTGCCAAATTGCATGAGATTAGAGTAAATTTATTTTAACAATTTATTTTTTAACTCTAATAATTTATTACAGTTTAATTTTGCAATATTTTTTTAATGATATATGATATCAGATGGAAATATTTGTAGTTTGCCACTTTACAAGAAAGAGCTATTTTTAAAGGGTCTTGCTTTTTTCCAAACCCTGTATTTAATTGAATGAGCTGAGGATCTTAATTTCTTTTATCTGAACTCTATATTCTTGATTTATCTGAACTCTATATTCTTGCATTTGACTTTTTTTCTGAACTCTGGATTGAACTCTGGAATGTTTGCATATGTGGTGCAACCTCAGAAACATTTAAACACACCATTCTATGATTTTTACCTGGGCTAGAATAATTAGAAGGGGGGACATCTCCTTTCCTTCCCTAATGTTGTCTACATTCACTGTCGGAAAATGACAGTGTATTGCTTAACACTAAAGATTCCCTTCCATTTTATTCCTTTTCCTGTTCTATTTTCTTTTTTCTTCTTGTTTATTGTTTCTATGCTTTAAGACCCCTCCCAATAGTTCTTGTGACATCAAGTTGTGGAGCAAGTAGGAGAGAAATTAGAAGGTTTGTAGGAGAAAGGGTATTGGGGATTGCTCCCTGTGTTCCTTCTGTCATACTCTTTCCCAGTTAAATGGGCATTTTAAGGAATGCCAATAACTGAACCCTTAATGCAAAATGGGGAGTTTTAAGCCCTAGAGCCCCATTACACCAGGCTGAAGATGAAGTCTTTTTTTAATATGTACATTCCTTACTCCCCTGTAGGATACAAATCATGCAGCTAAACGCAGCACTCCCCCAAACTGTAAAGCCGGGATCACATTAAGAGAGGTCTGCTCTCTTCTGAGGGCAGTAGTCAACTGTTTAACAATTTATTGTTTTTAAATTTTATCTTATAATCTTATAATCTTATAAATTGGATACATGTTGATACAGAAAAGTTCTGATTTTATTTTAATTTTTGTCGTAGTTTCTCTCTTTCTTCCTTTTTTCCCTTCTGTTGATAGTCCCTGTTTAAATGGTGAGGGAGGGGGGTCCAGCCCAGCTCTAATGGTGTCTCCATTTGCCAACAGGATAAATTGATGGTGTAAAGCTTATCATCCCCTTCCATTTTCCTGTTCAATTTTTCTTTTTTCTTCTTGTTTCTTGTTAGTAGGATTCTACAATGTTTCTTTGAGTTCCATATCTAAACTCTGGTTACGTCTATTGGTCTTAAAAATGGAGCCCACAACATTTGTCCACTAAGAAATCAATTCCAAATGCTGTTCATAACAAAATTCCAAATGCTGTTCATAACAAATAGTTAAGGTTGAGGTGTAAGAGTTGGAATTATGGAGTAGGTCAGGGAGGGAGGATATAGAGGGACTCCCATAGCATAGAAAATCTCTACTTTCGTCAGATTTTTAAGTGTTTCCCACTCTGGGAAATTTAAGGGTTTTTATCATTGAAGTTGCAAAGCATTACAAAATGGGAAACTGTTGGCTTTGTGGCTCAGAATGTGGGATTATTGACAGTAATCCATTCTTCATAGTCAGCCCAATATCCAAGCCGGAAGAGTAAAAAACCAGCATCATAGTGCATGGTTACTAGCCTCTCAGGATTCTTCTTTCTATGTTTCTATTTTTCTTGTTTCTGGCGAGCTGATTGTTTTAAGGTGGGGTGCCGCCATGATTTAATTTGCACAGTGCTCCCCAGCTGAAAAGAGCCTCCGGCTACTTAGAGCGGAGCACTGAATTTCAATGTCCTGACCATGCCGATGCCAGCTTGCAACTGAGATGAGAATAAATAGATATAGAGTATAGGTGTACTTGAGTACAAGTGGAATCAGGTAGATATAGATTTCTCACACTAGATGGCGCTAGCATGAAGTTTTTACATGTAGTTTGTAATAGAAAGCTTGCAGAACCCTGTTTTCTCTCAGCTTTCTTCAGACTCAGTGACCTCTATAGTGGAATATTAATTAAAATCCATACAAAGCAGTATGCTCTGATACCAGCTAGCCCAGACAGGAAATGGGGGGAGGGGTGGAGTGGGGGGGGAGGGAAGAAGGCTCTATATGTGTTTACTCTAATGGCATATTTTATAATGGCAATGTATAAACTCTACGCCATTTTGATTCCTTTGTGGATATTGATTACCCTGCATTATACTTTTCCTATATAAATAACATATAAATAACTTCAGGTAGATAAGATCAAATATATAAATTACTTCAGGTAGATAAGACCAAATATATAAATTACTTCAGGTAGATAAGATCAAATATATAATTTACTTCAGGTAGATAAGATCAAATATATAAATTACTTCAGGTAGATAAGATAAAATATATAAATTACTTCAGGTAGATAAGATCAAATATATAAATTACTTCAGGTAGATAAGATCAAATATATAAATTACTTCAGGTAGATAAGATCAAATATATAAATTACTTCAGGTAGATAAGATCAAATATATAATTTACTTCAGGTAGATAAGATCAAATATATAAATTACTTCAGGTAGATAAGATCAAATATATAAATTACTTCAGGTAGATAAGATCAAGTTGATCCTGAATGAATTACTAACTTTGGCTGATAATGAACAAGGTATACAATATTTTCCCCAATCAAAAGCCTCTTCAGAAGTATTGTTAATCTGAAACTCTAGATCTAGATATCCTATGTGGGCACTTTTAACTTGAGAAAATGCATGATCACTCAAGAATAATCTCTGCAATTGTACTTGTATTTTCCCAGGACAAGATTATCAGGATAACGGTAGTGGTGAGGAAGAGCAATCTAAGCACACGTCAGTATTTGTCTTAAAGTTAATTGTCAACTTAATCAAAGAATTTTCTGATATAAATACTTTAAATCCATTTCTATACCCGTTGAAAAGATTTCTGATACACTTAAACAAAATTTAAGAACATTTTTATAATTTTCAAACTTGTTTACATTTAGAATTTAGATTTTTGTGTATATAAAAGGGGTTTAAAAAAATCTGTCTTAAAACACCAGATTCAGAAACGTAAAAATCTTTAAAACCCCTTGAAAACAATACATATTCTGACATGGTTAGTTAAACAAATATACATATGCTCTTCAGGGCTCAGTCTTGTCAAAGAAACTCTGAAATCCGATGTCAACCATCCAGCAAGTAAGTTCAAGATTTTTACTTCACCACCCTGCCTGCAGGTCCTTCCAGGTTACAGGTTACAGGTTTCAGGTTTATTAGTAATTCCAAATTATTTCGCGAAAAAAACATTTCGCAAAAACCATAAATGCGAAATTTTCGCGAAATGATATACCCTTTTGGTTGAAAACCTTAGTTCCTGTATAAAGTCGTTTAATTGTCATGCATTTTCACACTTTTACATTTATGTCTTTCATTTGTTACCTGACTACATTTACTGCTAAAATTACATATTTTATATATTTTAATATAATGTATATAAATATATCTAGGTATAAAGTAGAATCTGGAGAGTGTAATAACCTACATAATATATATCTAGGTATAGAGTAGAGTCGGGAGAGTGTAATAACCTACAGAATATATATATCTAAGTATAGAGTAGAGTCTGGAGAGTGTAATAACCTACAGAATATATATATCCAGGTATAGAGCAGAGTCTGGAGAGTGTAATAACCTACAGAAAATATATATCTAGGTATAGACTAGTCTGGAGAGTGTAATAACCTACAGAATATATATCTAGGCATAGAGCAGAGTCTGGAGAATGTAATAGGAAAAGAAGTCGATCAAAGGAATCCCCAGAGAAACATAAAGAGGACAAAAGAACCAAAACTAACAGAGATCAGACAAATAAATATACTGATGAGAAGGACAATGTCCAGAATGATGAAGAACCAGCAGAGGATACAAGGGAAGATTATGATCAAGCTTCTAAATCGCCCCTGGAACGCAGGAGCAGATCAGGAGAGACAATGGAAGGAAACAGCCATTCAAATTAACAATTCTCTACCTTAATGCTCAAAGTGTTGTAAACAAAGTACAAGAATTAAATTGTGTCTCGGAAGACTTAAAACTAGACATAATATTAGTGACAGAGTCTTGGTGTCATGGTGATATCCAGGACTCAATTTTGGGTTTAACAAACTTTGAACTAATTAACGAACTTAGATGTGATAGAAGAGACACTGCTAATGGTATAGGGGGAGGTCTCCTTGTGTATGCCAAAAGTGGACTCATGATTTTACCCTGTGACAACCTATCAATATTTAACCAATACTGTAAGTTTAAAGTAAAAACTGGTGAAGGATATGCTCATTTTTACCTTATATATAGATCTCCTAATAGTACTAGTGATAATACAGATGAACTGTGTGAAATATTGAAGAACATTGAACCAAACTCATTTATTATTGGTGACTTAAATCTTCCAGGAATAAATTGGGAAACCCTGACCACAAATAAAAAAGGAGAAGGTATACTGGAAGCTTGTCTGGAGATGGGTCTTGAACAACTGATTAACTTTCCTACCCATAATAAAGGTAACATCCTAGATGTTATAATTACCAACAGGTCTGACTGTGCCTTAAACATTACTGATGTAGGTTCGCTGGGAAAAAGTGATCACTGTATGATTTGGCTTGAAACAATTTATAATACTCCAGTTAATGAGGAAGAAAGATATATCCCTGACTGGAATAAAGCTGATGTTAAAAACCTTAGGAATGCTTTGAACCGTATGGATAAATGTACAAGTTTAGCATGGGATACTTTCAAAATAAACTTATGTCAACTGACTGATATGTGGGTTCCCATAAAAAAGATTAGAAATCCTAAGACTCCATTGTGGATGAATAGGAATCTGTTGAGGTTGATAAGGAAGAAGAGAAGAATCTACAGAAGATACAAAGAAACTAAAGAACACAGTGAACTGGTTGCATACAAAAAGATTGAGAAGCAGTTAATATAGAGTAGAGTCTGGAGAGTGTAATAACCTACAGAATATATATCTAGGTATAGAGCAGAGTCTGGAGAGTGTAATAATCTACAGAATTCTCTCTGGGGGAAAGCTAACTCAGCTCAAACTCGTCTCTTCCCGGATCTAGTCAGCTATGAAGATGGTATTAATATATTTTAACAATTTTTTCATCTTCATCTTCTGGGTTTTATAGATTTAACTGCTATTGAGAGAGAGACAATTTTTTCCTAAATATGTGACTATGGTCAATCAATTTTTTTAACAACCCAATATTGTAGAACTTAGATTTTTCAAACTATGAGATCTGTTATATCAAACAATCAAAGTTTAAAATATCTAAGCTTTATATAATTTGATTGTAGATATATATACCTTTAGACCTAGTTCCTTTTGACTCTTTTTTTTACCTAAAATGTACTTGTTACGTTATTTACTTGAAATCAAGGTTTATAATACAACCTTGTTTGAAGTAGACATCAATAAGTCACACATTCCACATTTGTAAAAATCCATAAATATTATTTATTATTTAGGCTCGATTTTTGAAACTTTTTTTAGGGATTGGAAGCCCAACTGCAACAGTAACATTAAAAGGCCAAGTAATTATTTTTTTAATTTTATTTTTGGGGCCTCTTACATTGACAACGGAGGTCNATTTAATTTTTTAAAGTATTAAGTTTTAGATTTTTTTCTTTTCTTTTAACATTTTAGGATAGAATTTATCTCCCTAATCCTCGTCTCGTCAGCAAAAGAGTTCATGAAAACAAGGTAAAAATTTACATTTACATTTACATTTACATTTACATTTATATTTACATTTACATTTACATTTACATTTACATTTATATTTACATTTAAATTTACATTTACATTTACTTTTACATTTACATTTACATTTACATTTACATTTACATTTAAATTTACATTTACATTTTTACTTTACATTTAAACATTAAAACCTTTATCTGATGAATGATGTGGAACAAAGCGGAGTTTTTTAGCTTGAAAAGTATTCAAATTCATTAATTCGAAAGACCTAAAGAAAATGATTAGTTTAAAAAAAACATTGACATCATTTTCATGCTTGAATTGGAAAAGTATTTATCTATATATCCAATCAATATCTAGAAAGAAAGAAATATACCAAGTAAGAAGATTACTCATATGGCAATGCAGTTTGGACAGTTTCTGGATCATGAGTTAACCCTGACTCCAGAACCAGGTTAAATCATACCTAGAACTTAAATACTGCTCTATCTAGAACTTGAATACTGTCCTAACTAGAACTTAAATACTGTCCTATCTAGAATTTGAATACTGTTCTAGATAGAACTTAAATACTGCTCTATCTAAAACTTGAATACTGTCCTATCTAGAAATTACATACTGTTCTATTTTGATCTTAAATACTTTCCTATCTAGAACTTAAATACTGCCCTATCTAGAACTTAAATACTGTCCAATCTAGAACTTTAATACTGTCCTATCTAGAACTTTAATACTGTTCTATCTAGAACTTTAATACTGTCCTATCTAGAACTTGAATACTGTCCTATTTAGAACTTGAATAATGTTCTATCTAAAACTTGAAATCTGTCCTATCTAGAACTTGAATACTGTCCTATCCAGAACTTGAATACTGTCCTAGAACTTAAATACTGTTCTATTTAGATCTTAAATACTTTCCTATCTAGAACTTAAATACTGTCCTATCTAGAACTTAAATACTGTCCAATCTAGAACTTGAATACTGTCCTATCTAGAACTTTAATACTGTTCTATCTAGAACTTTAATACTGTTCTATCTAGAACTTTAATACTGTTCTATCTAGAACTTTAATACTTTCCTATCTAGAACTTGAATACTGTTCTATCTAAAACTTGAAATCTGTCCTATCTAGAACTTGAATACTGTCCTATCTAGAACTTGAATACTGTCCTATCTAGAACTTGAATGCTGTGCTCCTGAGATAATTAGCAAATCTAGATGTTTTCCAATCAGGTCTATTTATTTCAATTTTCCCTTTTTTACATTTACAATCGTCTTTTATTCTATCTTATTGTTACAATATCTAAAACTATGAAAACCAATTAATCTTGAATTTTCAAAACTTTCATTATATAAATCATTGTTAATGAGAATTGTTCTTTTCCTCTTGCTCTTGGGACATATTCAATATCTAAGTCTTTCTGTATTGAATTTTTAAATTTTTATTGTATTAATTATTCTTATTGAGAATTATATTCCAAGTTTTGATAACATTTACAAACAAACAAAGACATTGAGTGTTATGCCACAAACTCAAATTTTCAAAGTAGCAAGCCTTCTTCTTTGATATTTCAATTTTAGATTATTTTAATATTAATAGAATCCATAGTTTGTAATATCTAAGTTCTTTGATATATGGTTGCAAAGATAAAGTGTTTAAAAAATCAGTTTGGGGCAAAGACTCAATTCTTTCGCCTTCAATTAATATTATAATAAAGCTCTTCGCTCATGTATATATATATGTGTATATATCCAATATTTTGGCTATTGCTGGCCAAACGGCTGCGGACCAAGTTAGCTGAAATTTTTGGAGGGAATTTAATTTTTTAAAATTAAAATTGTTTTCTCACGCCAGGCACTTCATAGCTAGTGATATAAATAATCTTTATTCAATTGTCAATTAAAATGAATTAATTAATTCTCAAAGAATAATTCAGTAATTAAGGAATTGTTAAATGTCAATTAAGTATAGATCATTTATGATAAAGGTTGAATGGAAAAGGTATGATTGATATGGAAACTGATGAAATTCATCTTTTATCTAAGCCTAGAAAACATCAAAATTGCATTGCTTTTTCAAGGTAATTATCTTTGTAAGAAGTGTTTACATCGGTGCAGAGTAACTTTTTCTTTAAATAAATGATAAAAATATTAATAAATCCAATGCGAAATGAAAGCCTGCAATTTTTTGATTTGCCAAAGTTCAGAAGCAAAACTGTATATAAAATTTTGAATTTTAATTTTTTTCAAATGAAACATGTGATGAAGGCAATTATGTGCTAATTTTGCTGTTAGGTCAGACCCTGCCTGTGATACTGGTACTGGTGATTCTGTACGACAGCAGCTGAATTCAATAACTGGTTTTATAGATGGCTCTGCCATCTACGGTAGCTCAGCTGCTCTCACAAACCATCTTAGGTAATGTTCTAAAACCAATTTGAGAATTAATCTTGGCACTCTGCAGTGTAAAATGGACAGCCACCGAGCAGGTATAGAGTGGGATTCCTGTTGTATGCAATGCCCCGTAAAATTCCAAAACAGAGAGAGGGGGATTGAATTTTGTAGATCCAGAAAATAATACCTTTGAGATGCCTGCGTAGAGACTGGCAGCTAGTGAGGTCTTAAATGTAAGACAT